AATTCACCTGCTACTTTTGCAAGAAAGCATGACACATGAAGAAAGAGTGTCCTAAGTATGCTGCTTGGCGAGAGAAACATGGTAAGACTCTCATTTTTGTTTGTTCCGAAGTTAATTTAGCTTCTGTACCTATGAATACTTGGTGGGTAGATTCTGGTGCTACTGCTCACATAAGTATGTCTATGCAGGGCTGCCTGTGGAGCCGACCGCCAAATGATAATGAAAGATTTATATATGTGGGCGATGGCACTAAAGTTAGAGTTCAAGCTATTGGGACTTTTAGAATTTTTATTAAAAACTGATGTTTATTTGGATTTAGTTGAAACTTTTGTTGCACCGTCATTTAGACGGAATTTGATTTCTGTTTCATGTTTGGACAAATTTGGTTATAATTGTTCTTTTGGAAACAATAAAGCTGGTTTCTATATAAATTCGAAATTGGTTGGCACTGGTTTTTTAATTGATAAACTATACATGCTTGAGACTATTACTTTAGATAATGAAATTTTGCACTCTGTTGCTAAAGGTACTAAGCGAATATTAAATGAGGATTCTGCCATCTTATGGCACAAGCGTTTAGGACATATCTCTAAATAGAGAATTCAGAGGCTTGTTGATGAAAGAATCTTTAATCCCTTAGATTTAACCGACTTTCAAGTATGTGTTGAATGTATAAAAGGGAAACAAACAAACTCAAGGAAATTAGGTTCCAATAGAGCTACAGACGCCTTAGAATTGATACATACCGATATATGCGGACCGTTCCCTATAGCTTCTTGGAATGGTCAACGATATTTTATCACATTTATAGACGATTACTCCAGATATGGATACCTATATTTGATACATGAGAAGTCTCAATCATTGGACGTATTTAAGGATTTCAAAGCCGAAGTTGAGTTACAATTAGGCAAGAAAATTAAGGCTGTCAAATTTGATCGCGGTAGTGAATACTACGGCAGATATGACGGATCAGGAGAACAACGTCTAGGATCATTTGCCATCTTCCTAAAGGAGTGTGGAATTGTCCCACAGTACACTATGCCAAGTAAACCTAGCATGAATGGTGTAGCGGAATGACGAAACCGATCTCTTAAAGACATGGTCAGAAGTAGTGACTAAAACCCCGTATGAGCTTTGGACTGGCAAGAAACCTAGTTTAAAGCACTTGCATGTTTGGGGATGTCCAGCTGAGGCAAGGGCTTACAAGCCTCTTGAAAGGAAATTGGACTTAAGAACAATTAGTTGTTGTTTTGTTG